TTGGGCGACTGCCTTCGGCTCAGGTCATGATCCTGGGGTCCCGGGATCGAGTCCCACATCGGGCTCCCTGCTTGGTGGGGAGTCTGCTTCTCCCTCTGACCCTCTTCCCTCTCGTGCTATCTCTCATTCTCTCTCTCTCAAATAAATAAAAATCTTAAAAAAAAAACAGTGTGGTATTGGCACAAAAATAGATCAAAAGAACAGAATAGAGAGCCCAGAAATAGACCCATAATTATATGGTCAATAAATCCATGACAAAGGAGGTAAAAATATACAATGGGAAAAAGAGAGTCTCTTCAATAAATGGTGTTAGGAAAGCTGGTCAGCTGCATGCAAAAGAATGAAATTAGACCACCTTTTAACACCATACATAAAAATAAACTCAAAATGGATTAAGGACCTAAATGTGAGGCTTGAAACCATAAAAATTATAGAAAATAATACAGGCAGTAACTTGTTTCACATTGGCAATAGCAATGTTTTTTCTAGATATGTCTCCTAAGGCAAAGGAAACAAAAGGAAATATAAATATCATCAAAATAAAAAGCAATATAAGTCAACAAAACAAAATGGCAACCTACTGAATGGGAGAAGATATTTGTAAATGATATATTCAATAAGAGGTTAATATCCAAAATATATAAAGAACTTATATAACAATGATGAATCATCATCATTATCTTTATCATCATCATCTGATCAAAAAGTGTGCAGAGGACCTGAATAGACATTTTTTTTCCAAAGAAGATATACAGATGGCCAAACAACACACAAAATGATGCACATCACTAATCATCAGGGAAATGCAAATCAAAACCACAATGAGATATCACCTTACACCTGATAGAATGGCTAAAATAAAAAAGACAAGAAATAAATGTTGGCAAGGATGTGGATAAAGGGGAACTTGTGCATTGTTGGTGGGAATGTAAATTGGTGCAGCCACTATGGAAAATAGTATGGAGATTCCTCAAAAAATGAAAAAAATAGAACTACTATATAATCCAGCTATTTCACTTCTGGGTATTAAAAAAAAAACTACCTCGAAAAGCTATCTGCACTCTCATGTTCATTAAAGCATTGTTTAAAATAGTCAAGATAGGGAAACAACCTGTGTCCATCAATGGATGAGTGGTGTGCATCAGTACTTATTCTTTTTCACACTTAATCAGTATTTTGTGGTATGAATATACCAGAGTTTATCCCTTCACCTGTTAGTGAACATTTGGGCTATTTCCAGTTTTTGACTATTCCAAATAAAGCTGCTAGGAACATTCATGTACATTTCTTTGTAGGAACATGTTTTGTCGCTTGTCTAGACTTAAGAAAGTGATAAAGAACTTGTTAGTAATACAGAGTAATCCTAAAAGGATTATCTAAAACCATTCTCTACTGTGAATTGTGCAAGACTGTTGAATAATAGATCTGTATCTCAGAAACAAATAATGCAATATATGTTAAGAAAAAAAAAAGAAGATAGCAGGAGGGGAAGAATGAAGGGGGGAATCGGAGGGGGAGATGAACCATGAGAGACGATGGACTCTGAAAAACAAACTGAGGGTTCTAGAGGGGAGAGGGGTGGGGGATGGGTTAGCCTGGTGATGGGTATTAAAGAGGGCACGTTCTGCATGGAGCACTGGGTGTTATGCACAAACAATGAATCATGGAACACTACATCAAAAACTAATGATGTAATGTATGGTGATTAACATAACAATAAAAATTAAAAAAAATAAAACCATTCTCTAGGGGCGCCTGGGTAGCTCAGTCAGTTAAGCATCTGCCTTTGGCTCAGGTCATTGATCCCGGGGTCCTGGGATCAAGCCGCAAGTCAGGCTCCTTGTTCAGCGAGAGGTCCGCTTCTCTCTCTCCCTCTGCCTGCTGCTCCCCCTGCCTGTGCTTTCTCTCTCTGTCAAATAAATGAATAAGTTCTTTAAAAAAACAAAACCATTCTCTTGTGAATGGCATAAAACACTGAGAAACTCATGAAGTTGTTTTTATTTTGATAGTCTTCAATCTACTGTACTATGCCCTTTAGATACAAATGCGAGCTGGTCATCTCTACCAGTAGGGTATAGTACCATGGGAATGACTTTGAATATGTCCAGAGGCAAGACAATACAGTAGTAAACAGATGCAAATGGTAGATAGGAGTTTGCACATGCACATGAGCCATAATTTAGAAAAGCCTGGATTGATTTCATTTCAGGTTATTTGCTTAATCAATGCAGAGATCCCTCACATACCTTTTGGAAGAGGAGTTGTCCACACCCTTGCACGCATTGAGTCTTACTATCTGACACAAAAGCTAATCAAAGTATTGCATACTCTCTCTTCAGAGTACTCTCTTCAGAGTATTGCATATGATGGTTAGTTTTCCTGTTTTAGCCATTGACAAAAGAATATTCTGGATATTTATCCAGCATTTGCATAAAAAACTAGACCTCTGAAATATCTGTCTCTTGCATTTATTTAACAAGAACATGTCTGATGGGAGAGTGAAAATATTTCCAGAAGAAATTGCTATGTTTCATTGTATAGTGCCAAAAGGAAAGGGCAGAATCTGTCATTGTTGATAGACCACCTCAAGGAAGTCCCTTTTTGCACATTACTATAATTGTCTTTCTTCATTAAAATCAAACCAGACCTTAGCACCCACATGCTAGGAATTACTAAAAGGTATTTTATTTGGTATATTCTTCAACATAGCCCAAAAGAATAACAACCAGAATTTATGTGTATAAATGTGTATAAATGTATATACTGGTAGTTTTAGGAACTGGGATTATTTATAATTATGTTTATCACCGTCTCTGGATTTTCTGCCATCTGGTTTGATGTCCCTTAATACCTTCAATTTCATGGAAATGAAGAGTAGTAAGGCATAGAAAAGACCCTGTGTTCATGTTTAGAGAACACAGCGCCTGCTTGGATAAATCACACCTACTTTAGAATCCAGGAAATATTTATAGAGCATTGATAGAGAAGGCTATTACCACATAGGGGCTCATAAATTTAAAAAGGACATGAAATTGGCAGAGCCAAAATTAACATTTATCTATCCTATTATCCAATTCAGATTATGCTTCAAATTTAGGCTTCTTGAAGACCAAGCCTCAGAAGGAAAACACCACCATGCTAAATTTGGATGGGATTTTTGTGAGTTTTGTTGTTTTCTTGTTGTTTTGTTTTGTTGTTTTGTTTGTGTGTGGGTTTTTTTGGTCTTTTTTTTTTTGGTAGGACTTTTGAATTCACCAACTACTTTTGTAAACACTGTCTTATCTGAGCTTCCCTAATATTACCATCCTTATTACATGTACAAAAGTTAGTTTATAAAAACTTAAGTAATCTGCCCAGGGCCAGATAATCTGCTTTTTCATGATAGATCCAAAACCAGGATCCAAATCTCCTGTGCGCATTCCACTCTACAGACTATCTTTCATTTTTACATGAACTTATATCACAGAGCATATGTTCAAAGCAACAATGAATAACCTTGTTTCAGGTCTGTGTTAGACATCTATGACAGACTATTGATACCAAAGGCTTTGATATAATTGAATGATCCCAAAGGTCCACAGCATGTCATTTTGCTGAGATATAAATTTGCACTATAGAAAGATCAATATACAAGTCACTTATTATGGTTAAGCCCAGCCTATCATCCCGCATCTACATGTCTGTGAGGTTCTTTTAATTTCCACTTTGTCTTAATGTAGAACCTAACTCCCATTAAAATTGTTTCTTCATGAAAATAGTCCTCAAAGAAAGCCATCTGCTAGTTATGGTGATTAAACAGAAAGCGGTCCCAGAAAATAATGGTTCTTAGAACATGGAAGTTTTAGATCAGTTTAAGAATAGAATAGAAAATTTGTCTATAGCTCAAAGTGATTATGAGAACAAATTCACCATGTACTCTACAAGGAAAAATATTTTTGAAATTTCTTTATCTGGTGCTTCAATGAGGGCAAAAAATGCATGTTATAGAGAAAATTATAGGCTACATTATGATTTATGAATGGGGGACTCTTTTGTCAGAATTGTCTAGACTGTGCTCTTTACACTATTCTTCCCTTATTAATCTACTTTACAAGAAGAAATTAAATCAGTCAGCAAAAAATAATTGCTTATATATTTGATGATAAATTTATAATTAAAACAGTTTTTAGCTATAATCACAAAGATGAATAATAAAAAATGCTGCAGTATTGCCTAGAATTGTTTAAATACTATAAATAACTCCAAGAATATAAAAGGCATGTTTAGACTGTTTTCCTTGCATGTACTTTTTATAAATATTTTTTTAAAGACTATTTGTCAGAGAGAGAGAGACAGAGCACAAGCAGGGGGAACAGCAGGCAGAAGATAGAAGCAGGCTCCCTGCTGAGCAAGGAGCCTGACATGGGACTCAGGACCCTGGGATCATGACCTGAACTGAAGGCAGATGCTCAACCAACTGAGCCACCCAGGCACCCTATAAATGTTTTTTAATTAAAAATTCTTCCTTTGATTTACATTATCCAATTTTTCTTAAAATAATAATCATCAGAATAAACAAATTTCCCCTATGCAATCTTAATAATTATGGATAGTCTATTATTATTTTCTCACCAGTAATAATTAACTTATACTTTTGATTAATGTTAACTTCAAAGGGAAGTCCAAGTAATCAGTAATTAATACTCAAAAAAGAAAAATAAAGGAGAATTGTTTCTATTTGATTTCTTCCTGTTAGTTCCTAGAAGGGAGGCAGTAAAAATAAGCAGTTCTAAAAACTGATTAATTTTTTTACTTTTTCATTTTTGATAACATCCTAATTTTTAAACTTCCCAGAAGCTCTTGTGACTAATTTTTTTTCTTATGTGCAGTGATAAGATAATTGGAAGAAGAGTTGAAAATGGGTCACCTCTGAGCTTTCCTTTGGATGTTAAACAGTCTTTTCTGTCTCCCAGTGATAACCAGGAGCCATTTGTTCAATTATTTTTCTCTGTCATCCTCAGGTAAGCCTCTGAACATCCCTTGCAAAGCATTCTTTGGATTCAGTGGAGAGTCCGGGCCAATGATCTACTGGATGAAAGGGGAGAAGTTTATTGAAGAACTGGCAGGGCACATTAGAGAAGGTGAAATAAGGTACAGAACTTGAATTGGTTATTTTTCTTTGCTCTCTTTTCAGTTAAGCAATGGAACATCCTAGAAGAGCTTCTGCCTGGGATTTTAATTGCAGCTCCAAATCATTCCATTTTCTAAAAGCTGATCTGGTGGAGTGTGAGGTTGACTTCCCTAAGAAATGTAAATGTGTAAGCTCCTAATAAGGAGGTTTTCTCAGGTTCTAAAAATATACCATGGAGTGTAATGACCCCCTCAAGGCTGCTTAAGCAAATTCCTTTGAGTTTCCAAAGCTTAGGCCACTGTTACTCCATCCAGCCATAGCAAATATCCAAACTTTGTAGGTGACTCCTGAGACCACTGGGCAAATGCTTATTTACTCCCTAGGAACAGACAACTTTCATATGTCATAGGTGTAAAGCCACAGTGACAGTAGTAGGCTACTACTTGCCAAAATAACTGTTGACTCTTGTTGAATAGTGATTATTTTTCCCAGTACCCACTGCTCATCCTGAAAGTGAGTTTCAAGTTAGCACCACCGTATACATCTTTTCACTCTCCTGTCACAGATACATTCATGGTTCATAGACATCTATTCTCTTGGTTTTCTAATCCTATTTAATACTATGTCATTTGTACAAATAAAGAATAAGTAATTTTTCCTACCTCAACCAGACTATGGGATTGCCCTTTGGTTTCAGAGGTGGTGATATATAGTGTACATTTTTCATTCCAATAGGAGTTGGGACCCCTCTCCTTCCACCCCCATTAAGAATCTTTTAGTGGAAGCCAATCCAATATTTCAGTGCAACTATGTTAAAATGCATTCCGTCACTTTTTTATTAAATATATAGCAGTGCAAAAGAAACAAGTACACTTTATATTATTTTCTATGATTAAATATAACTTATTATAACTACCATGACAGTTTTTCCTCATGTGTCCACGCAGTAACTCCACTCCAGAGGATCATAATTTTGAGGATCCATGAACCCTCCGAGAGCCTATGCATAATATTGACTATATGAGCTTATTTCTAGGAAAAAGTACATGAAAGGTATCTGAGTTAGTCATTTGTCATCGGGGAAATGCAAATTAAAACCCTGTGATAACACTTTATACTCACTAGGCTGGCTATAATCAGAAAGATTATAACAAGTGTAGGCTTGGATGTGGGGAAATTGGAATCCTCATACACTGCTGGTGGGAGTGTAAAATGGTGCAGCCACTTTGGATAACAGTCTGGCAGTTCCTCAAATCATTAAGTGTATAGTTATCAGCAATTCCCCTCCTAGATATATAACCAAGAAAAATCAAAACATACACCCACACAAAAACTTGTACTTGTTCATTGCAGCATTATTCATAATAGACAAAATGTAGAAATAACCTAAATGTCTATCAACTGATGAATGGATAAATAAAATGTGGTATATTCATACAATGAAATCTTATTCAGCCATAAAAAAGAATGAATAATGTACTGATATGCACTACAACATGCATGAACCTCGAAAACATACTCCGTGAAAGAAGCCAGTGGGCGGGAAAAAAACCTACATATTATATGCTTTCATTTATATGAAATGTCTAGAATAGGCAAATCTATAAAGATAGAAAGTAGATTAGTGGTTGGTTAGGCCTGGGGGGATGGAGGGATAGGGGTAAATACTTAAAGTATATGGGTGATTTTTTTGGGAGGTGAGGTGGAAACAATATAACATAAAATGCACTGTTTTAAAGTGTACACGCCTGGGTGGCTCAGTTGGTTAGGCGACTGCCTTCGGCTCAGGTCATGATCCTGGAGTCCCGGGATCGAGTCCCATGTTGGGCTCCCTGCTCAGCAGGGAGTCTGCTTCTCCCTCTGACCCTCTTCCCTCTCGTGCTATCTCTCATTCTCGCTCTCTCAAATAAATAAATAAAATCTTTAAAAAAAAATAAAGTGTACAATTTAGTGACAGTTCATTCACAATGTTGTGCAACCACAACCACTATCTAGTTCCAGAAAATTTTCATCACCCCAAAACCCTGTACCCATTAAGCAGTCTGAAGCTTCATTTTGAGGTGATGAAAATGTTACAAAATTGACTGTGGCAATGATTGCACATAGCTGAGAATATACTAAAAAACAGTGAATTGTACATTTTAAATGGATGAATTATATTGTATGTAAATTATATCTCAGTAAAGCTGTTCAAAAAAACTTCCAATCAATTGCCTGGCTCACAACAGATGTTCAGAAAAATAATATACTATTTATAAATAATTCTTAGCTCTTAATTCCCGTTTTAAGTTTCCTAATTACTAACACTTTATTAGCAAATTTCAAGTTAAGGCTTATGAAATTAATGCAACTGAATTTCCTTTAAGTTATTTTAGAAGATACATGTTTAGAATTATTCTCAATGTATTTTCCTATAAAACACTTTAAGGATTACTCTTAATTTTTCAAAAAAAGAAACTGATCACCAAAGGACCAGTGGTAGGTACAATGGTACACGGTAGCAAAATTTCCACTACCAAAAAGCTCAGAACTATGTTTAATGATCAAGGGTAGTAGTTATATGAGCCTAAGATAATTATCTCTCTTGTGTATGACTGGATTGTTCTAAATAAACAGATTTAATGGAGGTATAATTGATATACAGTAAACAGCACACAATTTAAACCATACAATTTGTAAGGGCTGATATGTGTATACACCTATGAAACTATCACCATAATCAAAATAATGAACATATAAATCGCCCACAAGTTTCTCTTTTGTAATCCCTCCTGCCCTACTTCCACAACATTGATCTGTCACTATAAATCGGTTTGCATTTTCTAGAATTGTATATAAATATAATAATGCAATACATTTTTTTAATCTGGATTATTTCAGTTAACACAATTATTTTGAGACTCATCCATCTTGTTAAATGTAGCAACAGTTCATTCTTTTTATTGCTGAGTAGTATTCCATTATATGGATATAAACAGTCTGGTCACTTCTTGAAGGATATTTGGGTTGTTTGCAGTTTATGGGCTATTTCAGATAAAGCTGCTATGAACATTCATTTATGCATCTTTGCATGCTCATATATTTCCTTTTTTTTCTTGAGTAAATACCAAGACATGGAATGGTTGAATTATATAGTAAGTGTACATTTAAGTTTATTAGTTCATTTTTTAGCTCTGTTTTAAAAGCAATTTTTAGAATAACTTTAGATTTACAGAAAAATTGTGAAGATAAGGTCTTAGTCTGCTTGGGCTGCTAACACAAAAATTCCATAGCCTAGGTGACTTAAACAACAAATATTTATTTCTTATGGTTCTGGAGACTAGAAAGTTCAAGATAAGTCACCAGCAGATTTAACATCTAATGAGAGCCTACTTCCTCATTCAAAGATGGTCATCTTCTCGCTATACCCTCACATGTCCTCACATGATGGAAAAGGTGAGAAAACTCTCCAGAGTTTCTTTTGTAAGGGCACTAATCCCATTTATTAGGGCTCCTCTCTCATGACCTAATCACCTCCCCAAAGGCCCCGCCTTTTAATACTATCACATTAAAAGTTAAAATTTCAATATATGAATGTTTGTTTTGGGGGGAGCTACAAACATTGAGTCCATAGCAGATAGTATAGTGCCTACATACCCCATACCCAGTTTTCCCTGTTATTAATACTTAAGGTGCTATTACAATTAATGAGCCAAAATTGATATATTGTCATTAACTGAAGTCTATATTTTATTCAAATTTCATTGGCTTTTACCTAGTATTCTTTTTTCCTCCAGGATTATTTAACTTTTTAAGAATCTGCCAAACTATATTCTGAAGTGGTTTTACCATTTTACAAAAGAAAAGTTAGGCACCATGCTGCTAACAGCAAATGGTTAGAATGGTGAGAGACAAAGCATACATATATGCAACAGTTCAGTCTAGTCCAAGCTACTTTATTAGATACAAATGAACCAACATTTAGTACCATAGGAAGTCAACATTTCAGGACTTGCAAAATGCCATTGTTTATTTGATTTTGTTACATCCTTTTTCTCCACTCTCCCCAAAAGTTCCCCTAAAAAAGGATACATGTCTATATTTGCAGTGGAGGAAAGTAACATGGAACTTGTTTTGAAAATTTTACAAAACCCTTCTAGCTAACTAGAGATACCTTCAGAGAAGTGTAAACAAAGAGGCAGGGTTTTCTAGCCAAGATAAACACACAGTCAGCAATTTTGTAATATTAATTATATGATCTTGATCTATTTGAGAGCTTGTGTGGGTGCAGGAATTCTTTCAAGATATGGCCATTTATGTTAACACAGGAGTTACTTACTAGATTCTGTCTTCTAGCCTTCACAGCCAATGTCCTTGAAAGAAAGTATATAGGATTTTTACACAGCATGGCAGATTGGAACAAATCTGGTAGTTTATTTAAAAAATACTAATCATACCATTAGTTCAACCAAGGGAAGATCTGCATTCTTTCATAGCCCACACATTTTCTCCAAAGAGAACAGTTCTGATGGTAGAATGCTGAAGATGTAAATTGAGGATTCTTCTGGAAAGCATTTCTGGAAACAAAATTTCCTTCTGGATGCATGGTTCTCCCTCAGGGTATTGTATTTGTTTCATATTTTAATTGAACCATAGCTCTTTTGTTGTGCATGCATGTCAGAAGTGCACTGCCCCATAGATCTAATAAGTGGGGATGTAAATAAATTGCTCCCAAGCAGTTGACTTGTGGAGAACCTGCCACAGAGGCACTGTATCTGGCAGGAGGACTGGCCAACTGCCTAGGTTCTCAATTTCCTGGGCAGCGGCTTGATCCTAGAAGTATGTGTTGCAACTTTATTTTTCTCTTACTATTGCCCCTGAGGAATAGAGAACTTTGCGGAAAAAAGAAAAAAAAAACTACCTAGGGAAAAAGGTTGGATATTTACCAAAGGCTTGCTGAAATAATGTCACTCAGACTACAGTAAATGCAACTTCTGTACAAAGCAGTCCCCTGGCAGCTTGACTAGTATTATTGATCAAA